GACAAGAAAATCGATCAGCAAGTGACGTTAAAGGAAGAAAGAGAACAGAAAAGAGACATTTGCCACATATATGATCGAATATAGTGCATGTGCCAGAAGAGATATCTCCTTATTTGCTATAGTCCTAGTAATAAATGGTGAAAGTGACGCACATAAATGAATCTTTTGCATATCTCTTGTTGTCTTTTTGCTTTGAGGATGAGATAAAAGTGAATGATTATAATGATGCAAGTGAAAGTGATTTTGTGATCCCTGGAGTTCAGACTGATTTGTTACCGACAACTGTTTCCATTCCAATAAATCGAACTTCTAAATCACATTGATATCAATTCAGATTTTCTCTGCTATGTACGTCCTCTTGAAGAATTATTCTATTTCAGGTCCTGTGTTGTGTGTGGTTCTACTGATTCGTCTTGTACAAAACTTTTATCTGACGAGCAGAGAAAGATGATAGTTATGGGATGACCTGTTATGGTATATAAAGGAGCTCGGTGTTGTATTGATCATTTGTGTGAGAGTACGGGCGTCACGTATGATTCATTTCAACAGATAGATGATCAAAAAAGATATTCGTTATAATGCTCACTATCGATTGCAGTTTTACCTATTTAGGTCATATTTTCGATAATAGTGTTTTAGCAGCCGATGACATACTTGAGTGGTTCTCTGGTTATCGCCATGCTATAGAAAAATCAAAAATTTTTGATTTTGATGATCATTTCTCATTGTCGGACACGGATTACAGTAATATAACTGGTTTGGTCAAAAGTTAGTATTGTTTGACATCATAAAAACTATCGTGTTGTATCTGCACCATCATTTCTGTTCGTTCAAGGTCAATTCGAAGATTGTTAAGTCATCTGTCGAGTTTAAAAAATACAGATGTTTGTTCGAAGAGAATTGCGATTGCTGTTTTTCTTTCTAAACTTAGACCAGGTCTGAGTAACAAAGTTCTTTCGTCTATCCTTCATTTGTGCAATAAAGAAACGGTGTCTCGAACAATTCATTGTGTACGAAAAGCCATGAAGAGAGATTTTGTTAAAGATAATATTGGATTTGATCGCATTTCACATCAGTAAATTATCAATAATCATACAACATCGATTGCTAGTAAATTGTTGACATGTAATCCAAATCAAGCATGTGTAGTTGTTGATGGTATGTGTTTTTAGTGTTCTTTTTACGGATGATTGTTCACTTTCTTATCGCTTAAGTGCATATTTGTATATTCAAAAATCAGCAAAGAGCAGGCTTATTCTTGTCTGATTCCAAAAATACTGCTGCTGCTTTGGAGCAGGGTTCCCGATCAGGGGGAGCCAGCCCTCCCGGAAATTTTTTTGAACTTTCTTGCAAAATTTTTGACGTTTTTCTACCAGCAACTTTCTGCCAAAAATTTCGAAAATTTTTTTCGCCAGCCACTTTCTGCGAAGCAAAATTTTTAGCATATATAATTGTGAAACTCGACTTGAATCATTATGTTTAACCCCTCCCTCCCTAAGCTGCCGCCCCTCTGATCGGGAATCCTGATTTAGAGACGCAACCTAGTCACTAATCAGGATAACATTCTTCACTGGTTCAACGGGAATGACGTGGTAGTTGTTGATCGGGGTTTTCGAGACTCGACCAGTACGATGGAAACGTTAGGATTTGACATCGTGATATCAAAATTTCTGATCGGGAGAAAAAGAGTAAGAAAAGAATTGTTGTCATTTCTTCGCGTTGACTGAGTTTTATCGCTTAATTTTAGTTCACAATCGAAGAAGCAAATACCACGCATTACATCGCTAAGATTCGTTGAAGCCACGTGGCTGCTACGCTGTGGCATTTGTGTTTAAACCCGGTCGGGATACAACAGACAAAAGAACTTCTAATGATTTCTTTGATTTTGTTGAGTATGCTACGCAGTTCTCAGATTACGAAAACACGTCCGACGAAGACGGTGGTACAATGCTATATGAATTAAAATAGACTAAATCTTCTTGATGCACACCATATTTAATACACTCCAACGTATGTATTAATACTATCCTCACCTTTTTACCTCAATGCTTTCTATACATTCCTGGCATAAAACAACAACGAAATGGTACTGCATATATAACACTAAACCACTTCTTTGGCATGTCTGTGATGACTGCCCAACCAGTCAAGGTATTCTGACTAGGTCAGTTTGTAGAGGATTTGAAGGGCTATCCAATCGTGTATTTAGTTAGCCGTATAAGCGTAGAAAGTTGAGAAAAACGCATTTACTTATCAAGTGGGTGTTCTTTTGAGGATGCAGATTGGGATGCTATTCTTGAGGAATTAACAGGATTTTAGTGGTTAAATGTATCTAATTCCATCTGAAGTTGAATACTGGTACGTTTTTCCTTGATACGAAATCATTATTACTCCAAAAAGAGAGTGGACCGATTTCTAACCTTATGTGGTGTCGTCTTTTCTATCCAATGAATCTGAGTCCCACACATGAAAAAAAGGATGGCGCTTATTTGCCATCGATTTGATGAGTTATCAATTGTCAGGCCACTCTGCGGAGATAGTGTTATGTGGCACGGCGCAAGTTGAATATTCACGTGTCTTTCAGTAGAAAGTTATAGATCAGATTTAATCCAGTGAAAAAACCAACCATGTGCGCCATCTAGTATGTATTAAATGGCTTCTGATATAAACCTCAAGACAATGTCTTCGAACTATTGACATTTCTTGGACAAAGAAATGTCAAAAGAGCATGATGAAGCAAATGTGAAGACCTTACCGGATTGGCTACTGTGTTGTTCTTTGTTCAAGCGGGAGAATGAGTCAGCGTAATTGGACGTATGGTGTGACACGGATCAAGAAGATTGTAGTTCAAGTTATAACGTTTTAAAACGTTTCGTTATATTATATTCTCGCAGTTCGTTTGATGTTTTCGTAAATCACAATGGTTAAGCCACGTTTACGCATTTCAGTTGGCCCATAAATTCTGATTACTGAGCTTTAGCCATGGTTTTAATAGCGCGATAGACTAGAACACTTGCGATTTTATAATTTCTGTGCCGATTCTAGCCGTAAATTTTCCGCTGCGCCGTTAATTTTTATTAAAAACGTTAGTTCTAGTGACATACGGATGGATTAAAAAGATCTAACTATGTGCATGTCACTCTAGTTCTTCAAATATGAGAAAAACCTGTAGTTCACTCATTTTAGGATAGTGTATCCTCGAATATGGCAGATGCAGAAGCAGCAGTAGTAAGCGATATTAGCGATGATGAAAAAGAGGTAAGATTTTCGTACAAAGAATAATCTGTGTGATGTTTACTTGACTTTGGTTTTAGAATGAAAATTATGACGAATTAGAAACGGTCCGTGTTAAATTCAACGTTCAGAAATGCGAAGGTCGATCATTATTTGAATATTTACCAAAATTTTTGAATTCGTTGTCACAAGCCGAGTTAGAAGAACGTCCAATGTCAATAAAAGAATTTCAGAAATATATTAATCGTACGCATCTAGAACAGACAATGCAAATTGGACTGAGACGAATGGGTTTAAGGTGAATATCAACAAAAATTCTTCTTTTACTTATATTTTCCTATTTCGTTTATGGGAGGGAAGAAAACCGTTTCTTCTATAATTAAACACGTTCAGATGTTCTTATTTATCTTTTTGCTATTTAGAGAAGATCGTTTGTTCACTATTGATGATTTTCAGTTTGGTTTTCCATTAGGAAAAGGTGCTTTCGGAACCGTTTATCTGGCTCGTTTGAAAAAAACACATTTTATTTGTGCACTCAAAGTAGGATGGTTCAATAACATTACCGATCATTTTCTGTTCATTTTCTGTTTCTTTTATTCAGATGCTTCATAAAAGTAAAGTGAATGAATATTCAATGGCTGAACAAGTGAAAGTTGAAACAGAGTCTGGTTATAAATTACAGTAAGTATTACGAAAGTACATAATTAAGCATACTATTACGTAATAAAGCATTTTCACAAATAAAAAAACAGACATCTCAAGATATAACAGAACTTCGAAGGTTTTGCTTTTGAGACACGTTTACTCTTACTTTTCTGATCTCACTTATTGTGATTATCGGTTTTATTTCTGTTGTAGTCATCCACTTATTTTGACAATGTACGATGTATTTCATGATGATAAACGTTTTTATTTTATTTTGGAATATGCACCTAATGGTCAATTATATAGGTTTTTACAAAAATTGGGTCGATTCCCCAATCGTTTAGCTGCCACAGTAAGTGATAGAATCTACAGCAACTATCTTGATTTTCAGTTTATGTTCTTTTTTTTAGTACATTTATCAAGTTTGTCATGCACTTGCTTATTGTCATAGTAAAGGGGTGATACATCGTGACTTGAAACCGGAAAATATTCTATTGGATTGTTGTGGTAATTTAAAATTAGCCGATTTCGGTTGGTCAGCAAAAATTCGTGCACAAGAGTTGTAAGTGAAGCATTGCTGTTCTTTTATAGTTTGAGAAGTCGCATAACGGATAAAGGTATTTTTATTTTCTATTTCTATTTTTAGAAATAGTACAGCGTGTGGTACATTAGACTATTTAGCACCGGAAATCGTTTCTCACAAGAAATATCAGTATAATATCGATAACTGGTGTGTAGGTGTTTTAACATATGAATTATTGTGTGGTCGTGCACCATTTGAAGGTTCAGACGAAGAGACAAAGAAGAAAATATCTGCAGTCGATTACAAATGTCCCAAAGATTATGTGACAACAGACGCCGAACATTTTATCAATAATGTAAGTGATCCTCTACATTCTCATCTTGTTTCGTTTCACGTTCTCTGGTAGGGTTTTGTAACTAACATCATAAGTTGTGCGCGATGTTTTACATAAGAGAATTCATCCTAGGTTTTGTTCTTAAATGAATACAGTTTCTTCCAAGAAGTGAGCATTTTTGTGTACTTTAGCTATTACAAAAAGATCCTAACATGCGTATGTCATTAACTGCTTGCATCGAACATAAATGGTTACATTCGAATGCGTACAAATATTTATTTGGCCCCTATAAATGTCCAGTTTACGTTACAATGGAATAAACTTTCCATTTTATTTCTCCTTTGTTTGTATTTATATTGTACAGATACTCTGTATTCTTTGTAGTGAGTATGTCCGAGCTATTGTTCTTTCTATCATTTGTAAATCAAAATAATACGACTAGTGTTTGATCGTATGTACGTCTACGCCTAAATATGGCCTCTTTTTTTTTTTATGTGAAAAATATTTTTTTTACAATAGATAAAAATATTATGTTAAATGGCTTAAATATAAGACAATTGACTCACATGAACAACAAAACTCTTTTGTCCTCTCGATTATAAGTAGTGTTCTTTGTGAAGTTTTATATTGGTATTATCGTTAGGGTATGGTACAGTTGGCAAAACGTGACAAATTCACGTAACTACCTCGCACAAAAACTTTTCATAGTACAGAAGTGAAACTCTGGAATGAAATTGTGCACACTGGGACAGATAATACATTTTGCAATGAAATATCTTTTTTTGGAAAAATGAAAAACACATCGCAAAGAATGTAGCAAAGTAGAATTTCGTTTGTATTTGTAAATGTTTTTCTAATTATTATTTATTATTTCAATTGAAGCAATTGTAATCAACGAGAAAGTTGTACCCGTTCAATGTTTCAAGAATATTAAAGAAAAGCGTCAAAGCCTGAAAAAACGAAATACAAATTACCTTGAAGAACACATTTGACAAGCAGAAAAACAAATTCCTATGCTTCGCGCGTATAATAAGCGCTTAGTTTAGTGTGAATAATACTTATCGCTTGATGCCTGCTTTGATCTAATATACGATTTACTGTTCTTCACCGAGAAGAAAACTACCTAGCAATAAATCAGAACGATTATGAGATATGTTTTCTGCTTTTCTACAGCGATACCTGTATTTATCGTTCTTCTGATCGACAATTCATGTTAGTCAGGAGTGCGAATAAGATTAGCAAATTTGAATATTATGTTACTAAGAACAATGCAAAATAACCGAAATCGTTAAAGAAACTGCATGGAAACTGACACTTTTTAAATGCTGCCGATATGTAGAGATAGCTTTTTTATCTAAGAACAGTTGCGAGAGATGCGGTCCGATTGAAAACTTGTGTATTGAATTTCTAGAGTGGACAGTTAGATTAGTTTAATAGTTTATCTTTAATTAAGTCATATATCTATTAAAACATAGTTATGTTTATGCATTATTTTACTTTTTTCCATTTCTTGGTTTTTAAGTATGCGAACGCTTATGGATTTTGAACATTTTGGTCATTAAACTGAGTTAGTCGCTGATTCAAAGATTTATATATGCTATCTTGTTTAGCAACAACTACAAATTTAATATTAATTTGTTTCTAAATTATTATTTCAGATTTGATTCGTATGATTTTTAGCGAAAACTTTTACTTTTTCGGCAGAATAGGAATGTGATACAGACGCTCGATGCTTGATAAATTGAGTTTTGACCCGAAATGATGTGTGGTAATTTTCGAGCTGAAAAATCCATTTCTCTTTTTTTTCCTTCAGATTCTCTTAAAAAAATTTTCGTACCCTCTTCCGTTCCTCTTTTTACAGAAAATTGCAGTCGGAGGCCAGTTTAAAATCCAACTATTCAATTCTATATACAGAGTCGAATAGTCTTTAGTATGCAATCTCAGAAAGCGTTTCTAAATGACTATCAGTTGATTTTTCTAACCTGACAACATTGGCTGTTGATGCGACTTTTTAAACAAAAACAACATGGAATACATATCATCATGTGGCGGTATCACGAACACCTTTAAGCCATATTTTAGTTATATACAGATATCGTTTATTTACAATGTAGGACGAATGGATTTTATGAGTATGTTGAACAGACTCATTTTGCTCTTGCTAAGAAAGAACGGTTTGAGTTGAACAGGACAAACGAGAACTATATGCATTGAAATATACTGCTACTAATATGAACAATTAATCCCAAGTGAACGTTCTTATCAACGTTGCGACCCGAGTCATTAAAAAAAAGTTCGCGATGGAATCATGTAACAAGTTCACTGTAAGATTCACGAAATAAGACGCGACTGTGCACGATTGCGATTTTATCTCGCTCATAGGACAAGTGCTCGCAACTCTTGAATTTATTTTATGAATTTTTACTACGATCACTAGTTTTTCGATTTTCGTCCACTAATAGAAAAAGTGAGTCGCGCTACTTTTATTGCGATCAAACCGTGAACTGGTGATGCTACCTACTATGTGTGGTTTATGATGCAATTGCTTTTTCTAACCAACTTTTTTTGTCATAGTTAAAATTTCTGAGTTAAAGTCAAGGTGAAGGCTAACATCTGTCGACTTCACTACGATGAATAATTATTAAGATGTAACAAATCTTTGCAAATGTTTTAAAAATCAACAAGAATTACATTATATACTTTGAGTATGGACAAGACACAACGATGAATGAGATTTACCGTGAAAGTTTCGCCGTGACTTTGTTTAATAAGAGTTTATCACGATCGAGACTTAGCACTCTCGACACAAATGGAAAAGCTAACGTTAAACAGTAACAGATTGGACATTGAAATTACTCTTAGTTTATAAAATAAAGTTATATACATTGATAATATTATATTACTGACTATTAGTGTACTAGTAAAATATGAATATGGATTAACTGACAGGGTGAAACAATGTTATATTGTTGAAGGTATATAAATTTGTGATTATCGATAATTGAAGACAACTCTCAGATTCCAAATTTTGTTTTTTTTGGTATTGATCTTATATTTTCTCAAATTTAGATTGAAATATCTAATGTAATTGATTCATTTATAATCTTATTAAAGTTAATTTTTCGATATTTATTTCACACCAAAATTTGACTAGAAAACAAAAACAAAAAAAGAAAATATTTTGTGAGAGAACAGAAAGCTCAAAGATTTATCACTCAATTGTTCAATCTCATTCTAGAACATTAAACAACTTCATATAGGTGGAGAGAAAGGAAAAGATCAAAGAAAGAAACACAATGTTGTGTTCTGTAATTAACAAAAAAATATCAAAGAACATATGTTATGGGTAGGAGAATAATGTTTAAATTAATTTAAAAAGAGAAATAGAACACAAGTAGAGTAAATCATTTCTTAATCTATTCATTTTATACTATGTACAGCGGCATTGATAATGTGATTTATGTTAACTGTAATAAACATTTTATTCAAGGTGTCAGAAAAAAAAAATGATTGTGAACAACCATTTGTCACGCCATTGACATTGTTTCAATAAATATTTTAATTCTAATATTAATAATAAAATTCGTGCAACAATCGTTGACATCTTGAGAATAGGAATAAAAAGAGCGGTAAATTTTCAAGGTAAAGTACATAAAAGTTTATAGAATAATATTATTGATAATACTATAACCTAAACTCTAATTCAAGCGACTATTATCACACAAATTTCAAAGAAATCTGATTAGTTTAATCAAAATTGAATTAAAATACGAACGTAGAGTCTTCTATTTCTTGAAAAAAAAACACAAAAAATTAAAGAGTCTATTTCATTTTTATCGTTTATTTTCAACAAAATTAATGTAACAATTATATTATTTCTCAAAAGTTGCCTTGAAAAAAATGATTTCTTCTTCATTTTAGTTTTTGTACACTGAGAAAATGTATAATCTTTTTGAATAACGATTACTAATCTTTCGTCTACTAGTATTACAATAGTTTAGTTGTTGTCTGAATGACACTTGAATATTAGTAATAATATTGATTTGATGAGAAACAATTCATATGTGACTCAACATGATAAGAAACACTGTACGGGTATACACACGTACTTATCAGATATACTATCATACATGAATATGTGATTATGCTTAAATTTATCATTTTTCTAACACCGTAACTGAATATTAAAAGAAATCAAGTGTAAGAACTGTGTGGCAACTTTTAACAAGAGCAGCAGCCGCTCCTTCTTGTCATATGCAAAAGAAATCAATCTCTTAAATTGTTGTGTTTAATCTACTAGAAAATGCCACAAAAAAAAGAAAAGGAAAAAATTTAAATAATCGAGAGAGCAAGAAAGAATAATGTCAACTTGAGAAAAGAGTTGGTTCAAAATCTGTTGTGATCTATTGTTTATTGTTCAATGGGAAAATAATGTTAGAAAATTTAAAATTGATTTCTTTGATCAGTTATGGATGTTCATTAAAGAAATAATGTATGGTACCCACTGTTTTTCAAATTAAGAACAATATCACGGTAGAATAACTTAAACAACAAAACATGAGTAAATGAGTTTTTCTCAAAAGTATGAAGAATTAAATAATCACAAGTTTTCTCTCTTAGAACGTTACAAATTTTCTTCTTTTTTTAACATTTACATTAAATCTAGTCTATATGAATTGACCAGTAAAACAAAGAATATATTTTTTTTGGTTAAATCCATATATAATTCCAATTTAGTCACTAATCTTACTTGAAGTTAGAAAAGTCTAATCATTTTTAATCGAGACAAAAAATTTATAAATATTGTTATATAATATACAGTGTTCGTCCTCATCGAATTGCATACAAATGAACGTAATATTCTTTTCTTTATTCTCTTGTTCATTGTTTTCAATCTAAAGTAACAAGACATAGTCTAAGACGAAGAAAATTGAATTGAAGAAAATCTATGAACAAAATGTACTTTTTTTTTTTTCTCTTTTTTTTCAATTAAAATAAAACACGAAAAAATTGACCTAATCAGTATTATTTGACATGCGCCAACTGTTTCTCTTTTTATTATCCTCTCTCTTACTAGTAGTCTTCTAAGAGCCTATAAAATCTTCATTAAATTTATAGGAAAAGAAATACATCAACTTTCTTCTATTGTTATGATTACCTAATTTTTTATATATCTTTTTATCACTGGTGTCTCACTGGAGTATCTATCCATATTTCATAATAATATCTTTTTCTTTTGTGAGTTTCAATTGATTGAACTTTCATTTCTTTTTCTTGCTCTCTTGAGAGTACACTAAAAGAAACGTCTTGAATCTCCATA